AATGCAATACTTTTTTTAATCCATGGCTACTTGAATACTTTGCAGTAGCATAGGTTGCTCCTGCCAGAGGAAGAAAAGATGTTGCTTTCATTATTGCATTTGTCCTTGGTTTTTACATACCCCTTGGCAGAAGAAACATTTTTTTTTTGGCAGCCAGGCAGGATGCTAAGTCAAGAAAATGCTGTGGCTGAAAATAATCGGTATAATTTTATGGTCGTTTCCAGCTGGAGTGATTCTCCAATCTGGTTCCCCATGTGCCTCCCCAAATGTGGTGAAGAAGTGTTTCGGTATCAGGCTTATGCTTGCTTAAAATGCTTGTTGAGCTATACCCTTACAGTGAATTTGCTACTGAAAGAAGAGTATTCTGGAGTTAATAGTTGTTCATGTTCTTGAATCTGAGATTGCTGAATTTCTGTTTAAATTGGAAAAAAGGAAAAGAAAAAAAAAACCAAATGCCACAGGGAACGGTATCGTATAAGCCAAACACATTTGAGTCTTTTGAAGCAGCAAAGACTGATGTTTTTATGAATATTGACAGTGAGACACAAGGGACATGTTGTAAATGATGCAGTCAAGATTAATTTATTAAACACAGAGCCAGGATTTGAGCAGTAACTCTGCTTTTTGTCCACTGATCTTATCTGTGTCTGTCAAGCCACTTAATCTGTCTGCTTTTCTATTTCTTCTGTTGTTTTTAATTACAAAATTCCCTGACTCTGAAACAGTCCATCAAACCTACAGCCCTACACAGTACATAGACTGGATTGTTTTTAAGAATCTACTTATTTTGTAGCCATGTCAATGACTGAAGAATATCAGTGTTATGTATGCTATTTACTGTCACCTTGGTATGTTCAAAACAGGAGACGTGAACTTTTTGCGAGTTATCAGTGTCCTTTTGGGGCAGGTTGAAAGGTGTGGGTTTTTTTTTCCCCACTTTCATCTCAGATTCTAAAGTTGTGGTTTGTCCTGGTCGTTTTCCTCATCTATTAACCACTTTTTTGAAGCTTTATGTTTGTCCATAGGCATTCAGTGATTTTGACAGACTTACCATGTGCTTAGTGAAATGATGAGAAGATTGTTTTTTCTTTTATCTATGAAAAGTTTTTATACAATAGATGATGTCTGTTAACTGTGCTGCTGTTGATTGTTGCCATACATGCTGTTCTACTGTTAACTCACCTCAATTTCAACTTTGGACAGAAGTTGTGTTACGTTTTTTCTTCTAATTGTTTAAGATCTGCGGGTGGAGTGTTTGCTTAGTGGCATGAGTGGTGAGAGGAAAAGAACTCTTTTGCTGACATCCTCTATCTTTTTTTTTAATCCTGTTCCCATGCGAAACTAAACTCTGTCTTCCCCCACTGCACCTCTGGAATTCCCAAAAGCCATGAACAGGCCTAGTTTAGTACCTGAAGACTCCATCAGCTCAGTCATACCAATCTGGGCTCCCAAAGAAACCCCTCAACAGCTGGAGTACTGGTTCTTCTGGTGGTTATGGTTCACAGGGGAAAGACAGGTTGGATGGGGGAGGGCATCACAGCAGTGTTTTTCCTTGAAAGCTGTTTTTAATTGGAGTCACCGACAGCTTATGAAATACTTGTGAACAAAAATGTTTGTCAAGAATTTCAAATGAAGTGCTGTGTTGAGTACCAGAGGGCTCCAGAGGATTTTTAAATCAAAAGATCTAAAAATTGAGCATTTGTTATAGATATAGTCAATTCTACGTTATTCAGAGTAATAATTGGGAGAAGGAAAAGATAGCCTAGGCAGAGGGGGAAAATGGTAAAATAAGGGATACACTTGGAATATCCACACATTTTAAAAAAGGTGCATAGCTTTCTGTGGGGGGACAAGGTCAGCCTTACAACAGCAACAGATAGTACGTATGGAGTCTAACAGAAGCCACGCTGTACTTTGGGGAAGCTAGGGGTGTTTTGGTAAAACAACCTGACCCTGCTTAACCCACAATTTACATAATCTTCTCATGTGCATTACAGCGTTAATTGTATTCCAATTTCTCTACCTGCAACCTTAGTTTTAGGCAAAAGTTTCCTAGTGGTATAAGGTGAAAGACACAAATTACAAGAATGGATGCTCCCTGAGTAGTTTTTCATCTTAGAATATTCCGTACTTATGCATGCATAAAATTTTTTATGGAGATTGCAAGATGAGATGTTTTTGTCCTTGTTATAATGAAGTATCATTAAAACAAGGTCTTGCATAAACCAGTCCAAGAACTCTGTGGACTAGCAGGAATTAGCTAAGCTATTTACAGTTTTGGAGTAATGCTTACAAAATAAGGTAAAAAGTACTCTATTTGTAGTGATTATCTTAAATAAAATTAAGAAATCTGTCTGGCATGCCAGAAACATTGCCAGTGAACTGTTAAGGAGTGCTGATGGCTTTTTTTTTGGGGGGGGGAGATGATCTGTGTTAATCTGACTACAAGATCAGAGATGTATTGTGATAGTTTTACTCAATTACAAGTTTTGTGGATACTTGCTGAATATTTGTAGCTGTAAATATGCTGTCTGTGGCACAGATGCTGATTAAAAAGAAAAATCTAGTAATGCTAAAAATGTTGGAAAATCGCTCTTTTAATTAAATGAGTAATCTTAGTGTCCAAGGCTGGCTTTTACATTTTCAGAATGAAGCTCAGCTGACAAAAGTAATGAGTAGGTGTAAACATTTGCTTGTGTGTGTATTAAGACCATGAAGTTTTGGATTAAAACTTTTTTCCTATGTGGTCTTTGTCTTAAATTATTGAAGTGCCTTTGACTATTTGCTCAAACTATTGAAAGACTTTTAGGGGACAGAAACTGGAAGAATCAGTCCTGAGCTGAGTGTTAAAAACCGGAGATGCTGTGTATGTGGTGGAAGGGGGCCCAGCTGTAGTGCAGGTTGATCCAGTGCTTCCTGGGGTGCCAGATTTAAATGCATATTGAGGTTGAACGTAAGACATATAGAGCACGTGCTGAGTC